AACTGAACTATACTATCGAATTATGTGGAGTGGCCCATTCTGATATACCAGACGCAACTTCCATCGACTGTCTCTCATGAGGTCCTGGACGGAAGTTAGATCAATTTCTATCAGTTCTTCGTAAATTCGCCATCTTAATTGTTCATCTTGGGCTTCCCAGCCTCCATGATATAACTTCCTAGACAATTAAGCCCAAAAATCCTCTATTGGGTGAGCCTGCCGCATTTTTGGAGAATTATCGTTTTTGGGAACAAAATGTATGTTGTGTTGTCGAAGCCAAATTTTGCTTTATGTGCAATTATAACATTTTCAGGGCATTTGTCTACGTTGTCCATATAAGATTCGTCGTTTCCTTTCATTTCAGAATTACGCAAAGTGAAATACTTTCCGTCATCTAAAATAATTATTTTTCCATTGGAAAAATGTGCCCGCCTCAGTTGACGACAGCATCTTGGTATACGAAGAAGTTGCGCTTGAGAGTGTTTGGAGCATTTAAGTCTCTTTCGACATTTAAGACCATTCCTCTTCCATTCCAACGATATCGCACTCTTAGAAGATCTGTATTGACGATCCAGTCTTCTTGTTTATATTCCAACCTGATTTCTTGCTCTTCTCACCAATCTCTCTGACCTCTGTGCAGTAAATGCTCGTGGTCTTTTACTTTTTGGGAGTTCTAGATATGGCCTTCCCTGCTTGTACTCCACTATTGTTCGATAAATGGTTCTGCGTGAAAGGTTTTCATCCTGGAATATTCGACAGATTTCAGCTTTGGATACGTACCCGCCCAACCGACTTGTAGATACTTTTCCTTATTTCTAATTCGAAAACTTCAACATAAATAAATGTCAACTGTAAAGAAAACAAACTTTTGTTTCTAAAGGCAACTTGATTGATTTTATGTTTGTTAAAACTAAAGTCAATGAATTTTGTGCCAAAACTTTTAGGACATATGTTATAATACTAATTATGCCATCGGGTATGATACACCTTCGCCGTATTACGAATTTACTGAAGATAATGATTTCTGTTATAAATACAATCAGGTTGCCGAGACATAAGACGATAACGCTTGTAAAATATGTAAAGTAAGGTTTTTGAAGCGCAGTCCTTCAGAGACAACGCTCTCGCGAACCGCGATGACAATTTAGATCGTATGGTTGCGAACTTACAGAAACTCACTGTCAAACACTCAAACGCGTATGTTTTCGGCAGCAATACATACCTTCCGATGTTTGCATTTACTCTCCTTTTGTAGTGCGCTCGACAGTTCTTTCTGGTAGCCCAGTTCATTTGAACTACATTGAAGACGCAACCAGGAGATTCAAAATTTCAACCGACAGAGGAGTCGGTTGTCTAATATCTGAGGGTAATCCTTAATAAAATTATACTAAACGCGTTTCTGAAAATATGTCTTGTCGAGAAAATTTTCGAGCAAAACTCATTCCATTGTTTCCCACAAAGTTAATATCTACGATCCATTGAAAAAATGTCATTTTGTTTCAATTAGTAATTCATCCAACGAAACTTCTAATAATAATTTCAACTCGTCCACAAACGAAGTCAGTACAACTATGGAGACGCTACTAGAGGTAAGTGATGCCTCGAACAACTCAACAATTGATGAAAAAGAATTTTTGGAAATATTATATTTGGAAGGCGATAACCTGTCATTCATAAAAGCAGTTAAATATTCTTTCGACAGTAGACAGTACAACTGATAAACTCGTCTTTACTAAGTCCTATCGTTGCCCCCACCTCCATAAACAAGAAGTCAAAGATCAGATGTCTAAATTCTTGTAGTAAGATACTATTGGACAATCTATAAGTGCATGGTCAGCATCTGTGTGGCTTGTACTAAAGAAGATAGACGCCTCTAGTAAACAAAAATGACGTATGGCGATTGACAAAGTCACCACAGATGACAAAACACCCCTTAACAAACATTTCCGGTCTGCTTCATCGGTAAGGGAAATGCCGGTATTTCGGTACACTAGATAGATTTCATTAGATCGAGATAAATGTCGCCGATGTCCCCAAAACTGAATCGATTTTAAAGTTTCTTGAGATGCCTTTTGGTCTTAAGAATGCACCTGCCACGTTCCAGCGCGTTATAGACAGCATCCTGATGGATATACAAAACGGGGGATGTATTTTATACTTCAGTGTATATTCCCCCTTCATTTAGGAACATATTGACATACTTACCGAATTGTTTAAGCACCCTCAAAAATTACATTTCAAGATCCAGTCAAGTGAAAGAATAGCTGCATGAGCTAAACATCGCCCTTTTATAATGTAATCATTATGAAGGAAGATTATTCTTATAATTATTATAAGTTTTTGACTACCCAATTTAGCCTAAGAAATATAGCAAAATATTTGGGGGAAATTGTAAGTGGACATGATTTGGTGAAAGCGTATAAAAAGGGCTGCTCTACGATAATCTAGGTCGTGTCAGGGGAAAGGTGTTTCGCTTAAAATTTTCATTTGAAAAAATAAGGTGAATAATCATTTTTTATTCTTTTCATCAAGTTATCTTATTTAAGGGAATGAACCCTGGCCACTTTTGTAGCCCTATAGCAGTCACAGATTAAACTTTTGAGCACCAAAGTCGAGCAACGAATTTTCAAGTTATTGCAATGGATCCTCTAAAAATCTGAAAATATACTATGTACCACATACTTACACCTCCGTTCGCAACACCCGTCGTCGCCAATATCCTTTCTACGTGTATTACCACTTGAATGCAGATGTGGTAAATTCATCAGACGTTCCAAATATAATACTGACTTGATTAGATACCTCTGTGTTACAGTTTTGGTATCAGTGTTGATTTCCTTGTTTTACGGTGTGTTCTCGTGCTAGCTTGTTATTTTCATTGGTGCTAGCTTTTTGAAAAGGTTCCCTTTATTTTTATGTTCTGCTGGAGGTTCAGTTTCTTCAGCGTTTAATTTATTGTGAGAAATTTGATCATTCGTATTTACAACATTGGAGCAAGATACTGTATGCAAGATACAGTATGCCGGATACAGAATTACGATCGAAAAATTTGTACTTGTGCATCGCATACGTCTCGTCAATACGAAAACAGACGCAATATGGTACAGTTATAATTTTTTATCATGAAATAGAAGAGTGCATCGGTATGTGGTGTGTAGTGAATAAAAAGAGAAACCAAGGGAACGCATAATTTACTATATCCAGATATATTGCAACACCCAGCGAAGTTTTTCAATTAATTTCGAATGTCTAATCAGTCGTTTGGAGAACTTTATAGCCTTTGGAAAGCAGACTAACGTATGCGTAGAAGTATTCCATCAAAGGAACGATTCTCCACGACTTTAAGGTAAGAAAAAAGTAATTATAGACAATTTATTTTTAAATCTATTTGTACTCAAACTTTTGTTGCAAAAAATGAAATGAGCATATCAATGATCTTCATAATTTTGGGATTGGCCTTGGTAGTCAACAAGAAGGTCGATGATGGATCCGTCTGTTGAGGTGGCAGTTGATTCAACGAAATGTGGTGAGAGGATGGGAATTATTGTTCCTGTTCTTAGAGTGGATGCAGCTTGTAACTCAGTGAATGAAGTGTCTGTTGAAGAATGGGTTAAAAAGTGAGTAGGAGTAGATGAAGGATGACCATCTGAGGAAGATGTCGGTTGAATAGAGAAATGTTGCAAAGATGATTAGTCCTATCGCAGCAATCTGAGTGGGCTGTATCCCATAGACGGGGATTTGGCTCCACCAAACTTATAAATGTTTCATCGTCAAATACTGCACATTCTATTTCTACGTATATCACACAAATATCCAATGTCCAATTGTTAAGACTGTTTTAGACTACACAATTTCTTGTACAAGATTTGGTTCAATTTCTTGTTCGCGATATATTGTGTAGTATCATACAGTAAATTGGTTGAAAAGCTGAAACTGAACAAGAAATAGTTTCGAATATGGAACATGTTCTATTGTTCAATCAATTTATAGGCCCGGCGCATGCGCAGTTGTCATAGCGTCCCCAAGCTTATACCTAACCTCACTTCTCACTTGTTTGTTGTTTGCTTTCGCTTCATTGTGCGCGTCGTCTGGGTACTGAATTTTTTTTATCTTTGTTAATAAATATCAACTTTCTTTTTAAGCAGGTAAGAAAATATCATCTACGACTTGATCTTATCATTATAATGACTACTATTCATTTAATGATGTCTTGGTCCAGCGAGCAAATTGCCCTTCTCATAGAGCTATACGAAAAACATACCTGCTTGTATATAGTGAAGCATCCTGACCACCATAATAAAAATAAAAGAAGCATGGCCATAGCGGCAATAGTGGAAGGACTAAAGGATGTGTGACCAAATGTCTTGGAAGAGGAGGTCCAGAAAAAAATTCTGGGTTTATGGACCAGTTATGCGCACGAGCGCAGAAAGGTTTTGGAGTCTCTTCGATCAGGAATGGGAGAGGAGGAGATAAGGTCTTCAGCTGACTGAAAACTTGATCACTATTATTCCAAGTGGATATCTGAATATGCAAGGTGTTGCACATATGTTATAGGTGTACCAGCCTTCCCTATCGTACTACGAACGGTTGAATTTTCTCTGCGAGCACCTCTAGATGAGGGAGACGAGGAGTAGCCATCCCTTATCTGTGACAAGTTCGGAGGTTGTCTCACAACATATCAATCAAGATACACAGAAGGTTAATCCCCAACAAGAGCTATGATTACCTTATTTTTTCAAGTTTAGAAATCATTATTATAAAAAAAAAATTTAAAACATCCGAGATAATTAAAGTAGCTACATTGGAAATTAATTCTTTATGGATGGTATATAAATAATTTTAAACAGCATATGCAAATTGGTTTTAAGGAAAAAATATGGCATTAAAATTGTGCGAGGTGAATGATAAATCAAAATTGTATTCCGAACCTGTTATAAAATTATTGCTTTGCTCTAAAAATGCTTCTAAACATTTATGGACAAACTTGCATTTATTTCCAGGAACATTACGAAGTTGGTGATGAGGGGATCTTATCACCAGTCACAGAAAGACCTCAAAGTGGTCTTTCTGACCACCTTGGCATTTTACAAAGGCCATGCTCAAGTGGTACCCACAAGCGAGGGACATCATCTGCAAGAAGCGGTAGCAGCACTCCCAAGAGAATAAAGAAAAGAGGCATCTGACATTCAGATGCTCAAAGATGTATCTGATAGCCTTGGTAGCCACAGCAGATGATTTCATGGGCCAATTTGTGACAGCACAATTAAGAAAAATCACAAATGATGATATAAAACAAGATGTTTATTTAGAAATACAAAAATTATTGAGAGATGCAATAAAAAAGATAAAATTTATGTACATTTTTAGTCATTTCCTATAGCCCTATTTTCTCTAGTAGTACTGAAATATCTCCATAATTGGTTTCTAATATCAACAGCTTCAGAAGCATATCTTGTTCCTCCTTGTTGAGAAAGGTGATCTAAGTTACAGCTTTCATTAGCCATTTCTATATAACGCTTACTATGTGTTGAGAGAAAATTATGCAGAACACAACATGCTAGTGTTATTGCCTCAACCTTCTGTGGATCTAAATTTATTGTCCTCTAAGAAATCTACATCTGTTGACTAAGATTCCAAAAGCATTCTCAACAGCTCTTGCTGTTGATAAACGATAGTATTACATATGGAATCTGTTTGACAGAAAGTAATCTTCTGGACAGTTCAGAAAGTTCCTGTCAATTCCTTTTCTGAGACTGCTTTCTCTAAAAACACCCCCATCGCTAACCCTGCCATTTACACCTACATCACCATACAAAAATTTATAGTCGGCATCTACTAGTCCTAGGAGAACTACGCTGTTTCGTCCTTTATAATTATAATAAAACAAGCCTACACTTTTAGGAGCTTCAAAATCAACATGTTTGCCATCTAAAGCTCCTAAGCAGAAAGGGAAATTCCACATGCCGTAGAAGTCATCCGCTACTTTTTTCCATTCTTCAGCACTACTTGGAAGCTAAAAAAATACATATTGGTTAGGTAAAAGATACATGATACACCCCTATATGTTACCTTTATGCATGTTTTCATTAAATGTGAAATTATTGCTTCGCAGACCTCTGGTACAATGAGACTTATGGTACTTTCATGTGTGTGTCTTGCTTTGTAATATCAGGTTGAATCATACGCAGCAATATATTAAAACATTCATTGTCCATTCTTAAAAAGTGTTTATATCTGTTTGGGTCTTCAAGCAATAGTCCTTCTATTTACATGTTCAACACTACGCGGCCTTCATCTCTTCTTTTCAGCCACTTCTCTTGCCAATTTTTTCGTTTGTTTGTCTCTTAATTCGCCTGTCCACCACTTTCTTCGCAAGATAGTCACCTAAAGATACCCCTGCTAAGGCAATATTTGTTTCCAGCTCCATAGTGCAGACCAGCGAATAATGTTATCAGTTAATAGCATAAAGTTAATAATAACACAACCAAAATTAATTTTATCTACTCAAAATCCCTTTTGTTTTTAATTTTTGACAATTCGGTGACACTTTGTGTGTGACACTGACAACTTTGACATTTGCAGACATACAGGATCTCAATGCGCAGTAGCTCAAGCTTTTTCTTGAACAATAAATTGTTTGTTATGTAAAACAGCATTTTAATGTCAGCAAACAATCTTTCATTCAAGATCTTGTTCAAGAAATTGAACCAAATCTTGTACAAGAAATTGTGTACTCTAAAACAGTCTCTACACTACCTCATTCACTACTAACATAAGAAAAATCCAAAACGACTATTTGCTGCTGAAAAAGTATAGGTTCGTATAACAAAGTTAATTTTGTATGTGACATACGCATTCTGTCGCCGGCGGCCGGACAATGCGTGATACAGAAAAAAGTTAAAATTGTTTGTATGTAATATCTGTACCTCGGATACGCGTATCTTGCATGCAGTATCTTGGTCTGAAAACGCTCTTATGTATAACACATTAATTCGTTGATTCGAGATTGATTAGCTCCATCACCATCTCTTCTTGCAGATTCGTTTCTGATATCACTTTACACATTGCGGAACACATAGCTTTGCTGAATGCTATTTCGATCACGTCACTGTTCAGCACTTCACTCATGTGAAACTCACAGTTCTCACATGCATCATTATCTCTAATATAATAATAATAATAATAATAATAACAATAATGTCTTTATTCCCACAAAAGAAAATACAAAACAAGTTGCAAAACCAGTTTTATATGAACACATAGTGGAAGGGGGGCAAGTTCGGCATATCCGCTCTTCCACTTAACCCCTGGTTTTAGGTTTACATCATAATAAGATAAGCATATACCTGTATAAATGAGGTAAAAACATATATGTATGTATAAGCAGTATAAGGGAATGGACCCTAGCGGCTAATTTGATAAGTGGTACTATAACAATACATAATGACTCCAAAGTCATACCATGCAATTACCTGCAATGTGATAGCGTATACGTTTTTTAAGCAAATCAATAGAAAGAGAAGTATACTCTCGCGGGATATTATTATAAAGTTTACTGATATTATACGAAAAAGATCTTTCGAATAAGGCGGTAGAATGAAAAGGAGGTGTCAGTTTTGTTTTGTTGCGGGTATTGCAATTGTGAGCTAAATAACGGAAATGATTTTTTTCGTGTAAGTAGGATGGTAGTTTATGTATAATAATCTTATGGTACTGTACGAGGCTATGAAGCAGCCTGCGTTGCTTCATGTTCAGCCAGCCAGCATCAGTAAGCTTTGATGAAACAGAATCGTATTTTCTTAAACCAAAAATGAGTCTCGGGCAAGAATTTTTCACGCGTTGTATTTTATCAGAGGTGAATTTAGTTAGACATTTGTCATCGACGATATCACAGAAGTTAAAATGCGACAGAACAAGAGAATTGCATAGTATGACTTTAGTTTTTTAGTTCATGTAAGATTTTTGACCGTACATCGTCTTTAAGTTACAATACGCCCTTCTGGAGTACTTGTTAACATGATCCCCAAGCCTTAAGTTTTTGTCAAGGTATAAGCCTAAATTACGCGCTATCGAGCTTATTTCTAAAGTATTGTTATCGAGGTTTATTTTCACCAGGGGTTCACAATGGTCTCTCCAATTATTCGACCCGACTAACATGACTGTACTTTTAGCCGGATTCAAGTCTAAGCATATGTTTCGACACGCTTTAGTGAGACGGCCAAGGTCTTTATTTATTAGATCAACAGCAGGCAATGTTTGAGCTGGAGGAAATGATAAGGACACTTGTGTATCATCTGCATAAAAATGAGCTTTACAAGAGTGAAGACTGAAGTTATAGATTAGAGGTGTAAATAATGAACATTAGCGGACCCAGAATAGAGCCTTGAGGAACACCAATGGTCACTTTCAATGGCGTGGAGTACTTATCGTTCAGCATGACCTGCTGTAGACGATCGCTGAAGTAGCAACGCATTAGGGACTCTGCATCGGCCGAGAAATCGTAAAAGTGGAGCATGGCTAAGAGTAGGTCATGATGTATCCTGTCAAATGCCTTCGTATAATCTAAGAGCACCAAGGCAGTCAGGTTACATTTGTCAGCACTGCATATTGCATAATACATCCACCACTCCCAGCAATGCTGTTGCACAGCTATGCGCCGGACGGAACCCTGATCGTGTGTCTATAATGAGGTTATTCGTTCTTAAGTGTTCTCTTATCTGAACATCCATTATTGATTCAAGAAATTTAGACAATGTTGGCGATACACTAATATTACGCAAATCCTTGAGCTCAGATGGCTGAGCAACTTTAGGCAAAGGCACAATCAAAGCGTGCTTCCAGCAAAAAGGAAGATAGCGACGCAATATGCATTCATTAATGATATGTGTAATGAAATGCTTTGGTTTTGAAGCCAAACAAAGTATCTCTCACCTGATCTCATTAGGTTTGACATTATTCTTATAAGAAGAAAGTGTATCAGCATCAGGTTCTATACCTGCACTAGATAAAGACGTAAAGTACCGGTTCACTTCGTCAACATCAGCTAAATCTACTGGAATAGATGACCTGGCTGTCTTATTGCCACAGTTCATAGATTCCAAATCTTTCCATAGATTCTTATAGTTCGTACTGCTAATTTTATGTTCCAAATGAATCTTTTTAGCATTATCAGTTGTCAATTTTACTATATTACGTAACTTCTTGTATTCCTCCCATTTCTGATCACACCTTGATCTCCTATAGACAGTGAGTTTGTCACCTCTAAGCTTCATTAGAAATTCAATATTATCAGTCAGCCACGGAGCTGGTTTTTTCGTAAACCTTGCAAATTTGTCAAATAACTCTAAAACTAATTGATTAAATATACTTAATTTCGTATCTGTATCCTGACAATAAATTATCTGCATAAAGTCTATTTCATCCAGAGCAGTCTTAAGAGATTCTTGGTTGATATTTTTGAAATTTCTGTAGCTACGTAGTACAGGTTGTTTGGTTTCTACCTCATATTCAAGGACTATAGATATCAAGCTATAATCAGAGAAATTTGGTACATTACATACATCACAAGTACTTGGAATCATCAGAGCAAAAAAAAGAGATCTAGCAACGTTCCGGAGGAGACTCCAAATCTGGTCGGCGAAGCTACTATTTGATGCAAACCAAAAGTATTCAACGAATCATCAAATAACTTCACAGCATACTATTTTTATCGAGAAAATGAATATTAAAATCACCAGTGCAAATCACTGTGTCATATTTAAGATATAACTAACTAAGCGAATCTTGAAACTGAATGATAAAATCATAAACGTTACACTTAGGAGGCCGATAAACGACTCCACAGCAAAGACTCGTCGCTTTAATTTTGAATGTAACCCACAATTGCTCAACTGAAGAGATGATGTCAATAACGCTGCATCTAATTTGGTTTGTTATATAAATCAGAACACCGCCACCTCTGGAGTCTACTCGATCGTTCCTGAAAAGAGTATATCCATCCGAAGATGTGAGATCATTGTCTAAATTTTGATTGACCCAGGTCTCAGTTAATGCAATAATGTCCCAATCCCGGGAATTGACCACAGTGTTTTTGAAATCGACAAACTTGTCTAAAAGCGATCTGATGTTTAATACTGCTATTTTAAGATTTTTGTTTTTATTCATATCAGTAGATAGATTAGCCATAGTCGACTCTTTCTTTTAGGTTTTGTACATAGTTTTGGTACATTGGACAATCTCTAAAATGATCACATTGAATATTTTTTTCTTTGTTCTGTTATAGTTCCGACAGTTTACACATTTTGAAACATCAGACATCAATTCTTTAACATATGACTTCCCGAGCATTTTGAACATATTATTTCCGTGGATTTGCATTCTTTTGCCAAATGACCGAATGTGTGGCACATTATACACTTCACAATATGGAGGTGATCGCTTACATGATACTTCTTTCATCCTAAGAACACAAAACCCTCTTGAAGCAAAGCTTTCCGCCATGCCGGTGTAACTTCAATGACTATGTTGACACTGTTGAAGTGTTTCAGCTTCGTGACAAATTTTAGGTCAGTCTGCTGAATGTTTGCGAAACTATTTAAGGAAATTTAATTTAAGCCCTCCAAATTTGCATTACTGACAAACATGCGAGGATTCAGTTTCGTGACTTGAGTGATGGAATATTTTGATCCAAGGTTGTTACTGAGACTGGTTTTGAGCGTATTAAGTGATTTATCATCTTTGCAGTGGACTGCTAAACCATTCTTTATTCGTTTAGTGGAGTTGATACAAACGTTCAGATTAGCTGGGTTAACAGCTGTTTTCTTGGAAAATATTCTTGCTATCAGCATTTTCCACTGCACCTGCCTTGATCAGCAACACAGATGAACTAGCCGTGGATAGTTTTTCTAAAATATCGCTAAATGTGGTTGGATTTGTTTGCAATGCAATTTTTGGTGTCACATAAACATTATTTTCGGAGGACTTCAATAATGTTTTCTGTAGTTCACTGGAGTACTCCAGTTCCGACATCAATCGCTTTGTAAGATCCATTTCCCTATTTAGACAT